CATCCGTCCATCCACCCATCCACCCGTCCATCCATCCACCCATCCACCCATCCGTCCATCCACCCACCCATCCGTCCGTCCGTCCGTCCATCCGTCCATCCACCCGTCCATCTATCCATCCATCCACCCATCCATCCATCCATCCTCTGATCCATCTCTTTATCCATTCATCCATCTATCCATTCTTTGTCCTTTTCATCATCCATCCATTGTCCGTCCACCCTTCCACCTTTCCTACCTTCCTTTTTCCCTCCCTTCCCTCCTTCCTTCTTTCCATCCATCCACCCATCTCTTTTTTCATCCATCCATCCATCCATTCATCCTTCCATCTATCCATCTGTCCATCCAGCTTTTTATCCATGCATCTGTCCAACTAACATTTATTTACATACACCCCTTCTCTGCTCCATCTCTGGTCCTGAGTTAGTAAAGCAAATTGACTCTCTGCAGTCACTGAGCTACTGTTAAAATTGTGCTGAGTTGGACTTGGTTCTCCATGTACAAGGGATCTGGCCTTTTCATTGGGTGGCCCAGTGCCTCAAGGCTCCCGTCAGTGTTGTGGAAATAATGATGGTATCTATTGCCAGAGGGTATGACTGCATCCTATTCATCTGCCAAGGGTAGTGGTGGGTTGAGAGTTGCTTGATGTTTCGGGTGAAAAACATGGCTCAGCTTCAACTTTTGGCTTCTTCCAGGCTAATTCTATGCTATACAGACACCCAGTTTAACCTGCTCCTAGTGATGTTAACAGGTCACCTGAACCCTCACTCTGTGCCTGGCCCTGTGCCAAGCATCTTATCTCATAGAACTGTCACAGAATCCTTCTTAGGTAGGTGCTTTGATTTTCCCCATTATCCAGGTGAGGAAACTGAGGCACAGAGATGAGACCACTTTCCTGAGGTCCCAATCAGGACCTGAGCCCCGGTCTCCCTGACCCCAAAGTTGGTGAGTCTGACTCTAAAATTATCCTGCCTCGGTGTAGATGCCTCTTTGAATCTCCACCACTGGAGGCTCTTGTGGAATGAAATGCCGCTCCCTTGTTTCCCTCTCTTCTCCAGCCATGGGCAGGGAGAGCCAGCTAACGTGTGTGGCTATAAGGGAAGGTACCTTCCTGGGCCTTGCTGCAGACCCCTAGGGATATAATAAGCAGGGCTGCCAATCCAAGCCCTGCGAGGGAGCGACTCCACAGGTGCACTTGGATTCCTGAAAGCTGATGGGCAGCAGGCCTCCTGAAGAGGGTGACTTTTAGGCTGCGTGTGTGGGAGGCCTCCAGTCTTTAATTAAGGCACCTTCCTGGGCTCTCCATCTAGAAGGGAGAACATTTGCAAGGAGGGTCCACTTTGGCCACAAGGTGGCGCCCAACTCCGGGGCCAGACCTGAATGGGGTGGTACAGGGAAGTGGGGGGTAGGTGGGGGGAGGGCAGAGTGGCTGGTTTGGGATGCTGTCCTAATCACACTCTCTTAAACTGATCACCTAAGCTCCTAGGGAAAGGGAGAAGTGTTTCCAAAGCTGCTCCAGTGGTTCATTCCATTCAGCTGGTGCCAAGCCAGGGGCTGAGAGATTCAGCCACGAAAACCACAGGGTTCCTGCCCTCAAGGAATTAGAGTGCAGCGCGATTAAGTGCCAGTCATAATCCAGATTGGTCATTTAATAGGCACCTACTGTGTGCCAGGTTCTGTGCTAATTGCCAAGAACAGGGAAATGAACAACACAGAATCATTGCCCTAAAAGACCCACAGTTCACTTGTGAAACAAAAACTAAAAGAATAAACTTGGGAAAATAGGAAAGTATGGCTGCAGGGATACACTCAGAATACTGTAGACGAATTGAAGAGGAACACCCAACCCAGGCAAGGAGAGAAGGGAGTATCTGGGAAGGCTTCCTGGAGGAGAGGACACCAGAGCGGAGTCAGACAGATGGGGATTAAGCAGGCAGGGAAGGGGAGGGCTATTCCGGGCTGTGGGGACAGCACCAGCAAAGGGTTGCAGGTGAGAAACAGCACAGAACCCTGGCTGGAGCTCAGGGAAGGGGGGATGGAGAAGCCACAATAGGGCCGGGTCAGTGTGGGGAGTGGACGTTGGTGCCGTGTTAACGAGATTGGGTCTGCCAGCTCTAATTCTGTGTGCACTTATGGATGCATGTCCCTCTCTTCTTCTTCTGTCTCTCTTTCAGAGCCAAGAAGAAAAGCAAGCCCTTGAACCTCAAGATTCACAGCAGCGTGGGCAGCTGCGAGAACATTCCCTCTCAGCAGCGCTCCCCCCTCCTGTCGGAGCGCTCCCTCCGCTCCTTCTTTGTGGGACATGCACCTTTCCTGCCCTCCACCCCTCCTGTCCACACCGAGGCCAACTTCTCTGCAAGTAAGTCACCTTCTTGTCGGCCAGGTGCACGCTCCCTGTTCTCGCTCAAGAAATGCTCATGAGATGCTTTGAACGGGGGCCTCCGCCTCCCACCTGCGCCACTCCCGCCCCTCTGGATGGTTTCGATGGTTTTGAAGGGAAGGGGCATGATTAGCACTGGGAGGTTGACTGGCTGTTGTCACTGGTCCCACGTTCCTACTCTTTTTGCCTGCAGGTGTGTAGGGATGACAGAGAGAAGCAAGCATGCAGGGCATGAAAGGAAACATCAGCTTTTTCTCTCTGCTTCTCAGTTGCCCGGTCACAGGATTTTTCTTGGGCCGCTGTGGATCAGGCATCTATGATTAAATTTTGTAATTTTTTTCCCCCCACTCGGGTCAACAACACGTATCACCTTTCATTTCAAAGATGGATTTGGGTTCAAACTGGGCTGAGCATGGCCTGGGGTGTTTTACATTCTGCTCCCACGAATTTCTGCTAGAGACAAAGTGGTTATTACTCGGAGTAGAAATGGAACTTTCTGGTGATCAAGGGCTTGAGGTTTCAGAAGACATTTCATCTTGTCTGCCCAGAGGCCCGTTTTGCTGAACAGGCTCAGATGTGGTCAGAGGGGAGCCCCTGAAAAAAGACACTGACTTTTAATGGACTGGGAATTTGGGGGGGGGGACTGCTGGAACAGGAAGGAAATAACCCCGGGCCCCCAACACAGCCGTGGGGTGATCAGGTTGCTGCTCTGATAAATGATAAGCAATGTTTACTGGACACCTGTTCATGTTCATCACCCACACGCATGACCTCATTTGGTTCCTGCAACAAGCCATTGTGCAGGTGAGTTGTTCCCATTGTATAGATGAGGAAACAGAGGCTTAGGGTCATCAAAGAACTTGGCAAACTCACACAGCTGTTGAGTCATTGAGCCAAGGTTTGAAGCTGGTTCTTCCTAACTCCAGAATGGATAAGCTTCACCATCACACATGATTTGATCCAAGATCCCTCAGCTCTTCAGCAGGGAGCCCTTCTCTACATGTGGGTTCTATTCTTTACCTTTACATGAGGGTTTTTGAACTTTTTTTAGGGAGGCTGTGGACCCCCTTTGAGAATTTCATGAAATCTGTTATTTCTCTCCCTGGGAAATTGCACACACATATAACCTCCAAAGCGGTGTCCAGTGTCAAGACTGTTGGGCTCAGAAGCTCTGCCTTCCTCCGCTGGATGGTTGGCCTGGGGGGCATGGTGAGCTCGGTCCACACACGTGCATGATACAGCCACTGCAGGAATCAGCCGAGGGTCCAGAACCAGAAGAGACCTGTGTGGACATCAGTTAGGAGATGTTCCAGAGCCTGGCTGGTCTCAGTGCCCTGGGGGCGCAGGCCCTGAACCGAGCAGACTAAAATAGCACTCACGACACATATCAACACTAGAAGGCCAATTTATTAATTTGTCGAGAGAAATCACTGTCAGAGAAACCAGAACTACACTGTGGGGTGGGCCTGTGTGGCTGTCAGAGGGTGGCTTGGGAGCCCAGACAAGGACAAGGGGGGTGATGACGTATTAAATGTGTCATAGCAGTGGGTGAGGCAGGATGTCCCAGCCCGAGAGGGAGATGCCAGGGGCCAGTCCCAGCTCTGTGTCTTTTTGAGCAGCGTGCCTGACCCCAAGCAAGTGCAGAACCCTTTCTGAGCCTCAGTGTCTTCATCTGTAAAATGGGGCTCACAATAGATGCCCTCCGTAGGTGGTTGTGAGGGTTAGATGGGCTCCTCCACATCAAGTCATCTGCACAAGGCCTGGTACATAATAAGTGCTTGATACATAGTAGCTGTCATGACGATGTTAATTAGCTCCTTTTCCCTGGCTGTGTTTACATCCTCTGACTTTCTGATTAGTTTGGGGGCTGTGGGTAAATGCCTTTCAGTTCAACCCCTCCCCCACGCTTCCCCATGGTCCTAAGAGTGCTTGGAATTTACCTTGGCATGAGGTCGGGGGGCTGCCTCCAGCAGCCATCTGTCTCTGGGCATCGCCATCTCTGGGGGCTGGACCACAGGTCTGCACATTAGCTCTGTCCAGGATAGAAACATCTTCAGCTTGCTTAAAAAAACCACAGACTTGCACATTTAGACCTTCCTCTCCTGCCAGAAAGTTTTATGAGGAGTCACCGTGGCTCCCAACTTTTCCTGCCTGCTCTGGTCTCCATGGGAGAGGGGAGGCTTCTCCCCTTGCCTGGGGGCAGGAACAAAGTCCTTAATGAAAATCAGCCCTTAGCACTAAGAGGCCGGAGAAGCACAGTTGCCTCTTTGGACCGTCCTTGTCCTTGGAGGCAGAGAGGTCGCCCTCTGATCTTCCATAAGGGAGAAAAGTCACATTTGGGTCTCAGGAGGAGAATGAGGATGTACCCCAAATATTAGCTGGCATCCCATGGACCAGTCCCATTTCCATTGATCCTAATAAAATGACAGAAACAGAGGGCAGCCCAGTAGAATTGACTCCAGGTTAGGAAATGAGAAGCTCTCTGTTAGAGTCTCTGTGATGCTGCCATGGAGACCTCTGTCCCCGCCTTGTCACAGTTAAAACTCACCACAAACAAACATTGAGGCAGGTGTTCTAATTCCCATTCTATAGATAAGGAAACTGAGGCTCAAAAGGGCAAATGATCTTGCCCGCACGGAGGGCTTGAATCCCGATCCAGCTCTAGCCTGCATCCCCGCTCTTTGGTGAAGCGAATTCTTTTCTCTGCCTGGGTCTCAGTTTCCCCAATTGTATACAAGGGTCCAGTCCAGAGCTTAGAAACTCTGTGATTCTAAGGCTAACCCAGTGAGCTTTTCCTGGGCAAATCTTTTGATCACTTAGAGTGCTGGTTTGAGGACTCTGGGCTGGGGTGGTTGGGAGGACACATGGGGCAGGCTCTGGTTCCCCCTCGCTTGTAATAGTCCTGTTCTCCCCCTACTCTGAGCTTCAGAAGAGACCTTTCTGCCTTTGGGTCCTGGTGCCAGCCTTCCTCCCTGTGACCCAGGGGAGGGAGTCCCTGAAACTGCGTCCCTACCAGGCTGAGTCTGTCTGCCCCTTTGTCACTGTTAGTTCTGGCCATGGCTGGTGATCCGCCATCTTGTTGCCCCTGCTGGGGTTGCCTGGGGACAGCATTAGACAGATATGGCTGTAGAGTGGCAGAGATTCAGACCTTCAGGGTGCCCAGCCTTCACCTCCTTGGGCTTACCCTACATTCCTCATCTGGGAGTGACAAGCAGGGGGAGGGAGGGGAGTGGCAGGAGCCCCAGCTTACAGAGGAACATTTCTCTAAGGCTAACTGTGGACAGAACACAAGTTATTAAACCCTACTGCTCAATGGGGAAGGTGGTGACTCAGGAGTGAACCTACCTCCCAAAGAAATAGAGAACAATGGACTGATCTCCCCACCCTCGCTGCATTTCTTCTGTGTTTCATTGGGGCATGCCGCATGGCCCAGATGGTGTCTGATTGGATGCCCTCTACCCATGGACCAATTCTGGTCCAACAAGCTGTGTGCTGGTGGTTCCTTATAGGGTATCAGGCTGCCGCTATAAGTCCCAATAAAGAGTCTTCTTCAGATTGAAAATATACTGTCTAGATCGGAAGGAGTGATGACTCATCATCATTCATTACTGGCTGGTGGAAGTGATTTGGGGAGTACAGTGACTAAGTGGTTGCTGACATTTCGTTGGGCCCTCACTGAACCCCCTGAGTCAGTTTTAACCTGGCAAGGATGTAGTGAGGACAAAATGAGGAAGGGGTGTACGTTTCCCAGCACAGGGGCTGATGCTTAGAGCACTAAAGTCTCAATAAAGCGTAGGTTTGGCAGCTATTGCTGTTTGTCCTATGATGGGATAACTTTCAACAATGATGAAAATGAGGGTAATAATAGCAATCGGCACTTATTGTGTATTAACAATGTTTCAGGCGCCGTCAATTCAGGCAAAGCAATTTACTTGTATTATATAAGCTTCCCAGTTCTCCATCAGGTAGTTTCTATTCTTAGCCCCATTTTGCAGATGAAGAAACTGAGGCTGGGACGGTTTGGGTAGCTGGCCCAAGATCACAAGGGCAGGTAGGAAGTGGAGTTTGCTCTCATTCTGAATTCCCCATTCTGTAATGCTGAGGAACAGAGCTTCCACGCTGTCCTCGCTGACACTGGTTTGCTCATCAAGTAGGGACCTTAACTTGTCCCAGTTTCCTTGCTGGCACCCTGGTCTCGTTGGGGGATTGTGTTGTGGGGGTCAGCCTTGCTCCAAGGGTGCCTCTTGTTTATCAGCACGCTGTGCTCACTCAGAGAGCAGCATCCACACTGGGTGACGAATTGTCACCCTGCCGGATTCCGGTGTTGATATGCAAGGGATCCATTGTCCCAGGTGGTAGCCATGCCTGGGGTGGGGGGTGGGGTGCAGGGCAGGCAGCTGCAGAGAGTGGCCAGAAGAATGAGTTGCAGGACAGCTTTTGCAACTCATTTATCCTGGACATCTTTGGTAGAAGATGAGGAAGGGCAGGCTACTTTTTACCACCTTCAGTGTTCTGGGTGTTTCTTTATTAGCTGTGGGGGTCTAGGACTTCAGGGCAGCAGCTAGCAAAGAGAACAAGTGACTGATGATTCCCAGACGGCCCCTTCTTGGTCCTAATGGCACCAGCTGGAGTTTTACACAAGGCCCCAGTCTTAGAAAATATTGTCCTTCGCGCGGCGCCTTGAAAGACAGCATACCCTCACCTTGCCCTGTCTCACTGTGCACTCTCCTCATCTCTTTGCCGAGCATTTCCCGTGCTGTTTCTTGGACACAAGGTGACAGAGAGTTGACCCTCTGTTGAGGCCCTGGCCCTGTGTGCCTTGAGGCTGAGTCAGAAGGCTGATTTCTTTTTTTACAGGATTTTATTTATTTATTTGACAGAGAGAGACAGCGAGAGAGGGAACACAAGCAGGGGGAGTGGGAGAGGGAGAAGCAGGCTTCCCGCTGAGCAGGGAGCCCGATGCGGGGCTCGATCCCAGG